ATGTGTAGGCATGAACTAAGATTGGGGTGGTGGCGGAGAGAAAACAGTTATGTTGTCATATTCTGTCTGTGTTTGTTTTAGGGTCTCTAATGGATCCTTGTTTATCAGCACTTGTTGGTAGCAAATCCCTTTTCACACCGACCATAGCTGCTGCTGCTTGCGTTTTGGAGCTGCTGTTTCCCATCTCTGTTTCGTCTGGGATGACAGGGTAGGCTGTTGTGAGTGGTTCGCTTCGTGTCAGCAAATACTGCCTGTACCCTGGAGCCACGGTGCCCGCATCATTAGTGCAGCGCAGGGTGAATTTAGTGTTGCTTCGAAACCGTCTTCACCTTTTGCCATCATTTTAATTTAGGACCAACTGCTCAGCCATATGGAGCAGTTTGTCATTCAGCATCTGCAAAATATGGATTTATCTGTGTGCTTTATGCCTTCAGATGTGCTACATTTCATAAAAAGACAAATCTTTTCACTTTATTAACGTTGCCACTCACTGAATTTTCCATTTACTTTTCCCACAGAGAGCTTAATGTTGGATTGGGATGCTTTGAAGAGTCATAAAGAAATGATGCTTAGTTCTATATGTTAGCTTCTCTTGCGCCCCCCGATAAGCACAAGGACACCTTGCTGGCCATTTATCATCATACTTCACAAATTATTCAACATTTGGCCTGGAAGTGTAACGTAATGGCTAGAGGCTTCCATAGCTTGCACAAAGCTCTGGTTTCGATCCCTGGCTGGAGATGGTAACACGTACCTGTAACCCCAGTCCTCAGGCAGAAGGTTCCTAAGTTCACTGTTTTCCTCAGATCTATGACAAGCTTAAGGCCAGTGTGGTATAGCAGAAAGCACACCTCTCACGACAAACAAGAGCAAAAACCCCAAACAGCAGCAACAAAAACCCTCTTCAACTTCTATCTATATTCCCTAACAAGCGCATACCAGGGATTCAAAAGTATATCACAAGTAAAATAAGGAACAGGTTTTTCTCACCCTGGACTGGGTCTGACTTCTGGCTTGCAGGCTCTCTGCCTTCCTGTGGATACTTCAGTGGGCAGTTTGTTAAAGGTGCAACCATCTTTGCCTTATCCACATAGCCTTTAAGCAATCCAGACCAAATCCAGTGGACACAATGGAGGAGGTGTCTAGCACACTTGCGTGCACAGTGATTTCACCTACCTTCCCAAGTGTCACTTGTTAGAATGGATCTGAGTCCAAGAAGAGATGGTTGGGATTTGTCTTCCCGGCTTTTACTGTTGGTTTTTGAGAAGACAAAGCTGTGTGGTAGCATTAGGATAGGCTCAAGATCTGTGCTGTCTGTAATCTCAATCAAGTTGCTCTCTGTTCTGGGCATGATCTATCACTTATAAGATCTAAAATGTCTTAGGAACTTCAGATTTTACTGAAGAATTTGATGGCGATGCCTAGCTTGCTTGAGCTCACTTTTTGACTGTGATCTTACAGGAAATAACGTATTATTTCTCTACCTTGCTTTGACTATTTTCATCTTTTCCCAAAGATACATTAATGTGAATGATTATAGACTCCAGACTCAGGGGTTTTGGAAAGGGGACTCAGACCAACAGTACTTATTCCGTGTTTTTGTTTTAGGATTTAAGGATTTAATATATGCAGATGTGCCTAGAATAAATCTAAACTCTGATTTTTTTTTAAAGCTCATCTGCATAAGTTTTACTTCGTAAGCAGTCAGTATGTGGAAGACCTTGTCCTAAGGTCTCTGACTGGCTGACCAGACAGAGACTGCTCTTGTTAGCAGGAAAGCTTTTGTGAGGTTTCAGAATCCTGAAGAGGAAGTGTGTGGCTTCTTTTCTTTTAAACTATGGAAGTAGATCTTTCTAACCCATCCCCTCTCCTAAGACCAGAGCTTGGCTTCAGGGCATACTTCTTGAAAACTAAAAGCAAGGAGAATCAGGGTGCCCAATGATGTTCTGTAGAAAGGAACAAGCATCTACCTTCACCCAGGTGCTCCCTAACTTCCCCCAGTCTAAGAAGGCTCTCCTGGGCTCTGGGGTTTATGTAGCCCTTATTCTGTCCAGTCTGTAGATTTCCCTCTCCCCCCAATCCATGTCCATATTGGTGGAAATGTTAGTTGTGGAATGGAAGCTTTCTCAAGCCCCACGTCCCTTGCTTATAAGCATATGTGGATTAGGATATTAGACTATCATGCTCTTAACATTCCTCCTAGACTAAGAATAAAATACATGTAGACTCTTAAGTAGTATCCTTTGCACAATGCTTGGCTGAGTGCAGGCAGCTAATCTAGTCTGGTTACCCTTCAGTTTGGTTCTTACAAATCACATGATCACCAGGGGCTATATTTAAAAATGAAGCAATGAATACATTCTTAATCTCAAATGCCTTTTCATTTGAATGATGAATAAGTCTCTTATAATATAATGCAAAAACTAGGAACTCCACAAGGAGAACAACAGAGCCAAAATACCTGGGCTCGGGGGGGGGGGGCGGGGGGGGGGCTGCAGAGACTGATAGTCCAACTAAGGACAATGCATGGAGAGAACCTAGACCTCCTGTTTAATGGAGCCCTTTGGCCATTCAGCTCCCAAGTGGGTCCCTAATAAGGGGTACAAGGGATATGTCTGACATGAATTCAGTGATCACTTCCTCCTGGGGGTTTGTAGCCTTGCCAGGCCACAGAGGAAGATGATGCAGCAGCCTTGATGAGACCTGATAAGCTAGGGTCAGATAGAAGGGGAGGAGGCCCTCCCCTATTAGGGAACTAGGGAAAGGGCTTAGGGGGAGAAGAGGGAGGATGGGTGGGACTGGGAGGAGATGAGGGAGGGTCTGCAGTGGGGATACAAAGTGAGTAATTTGTAATAAATAAATATATAAATAAAATTAAATAAAAATATTAAAACTGAAAAAAAAACTAGTTGCAGGGTAATGTTTAAATCCTGAGTATTAATAGCATTTTAAAAATTTTGGATATTTTATATTACTTATATTTATCCTTGAGATTAACTTATGATAACCTGCAATTGATTACTTTTTTATTCTTTCATTCTTGAATTATGATTTTTGCCCCATTGTATTACTTACCAATACATTGACAGAAAGTGGAAAGGAAAATTGAGAAATGATTTAAATTTTTGTCATGTTTCTGTTAGTGTTATTCTTATATTGCGCCCTTCAGTCACGAGTCCTGCTTTCTGCATTAAATATTGCAAAGCATTTAATGAATAGCTTAAATGAAATTTAAAACAGCATAAATTAAATCAATGCTTGTATGAATATGATATCAGTATTATTGTGAATAATTCATATGAAAGTGTTTTTTTAATCCTCATTGTAATTAAGGAGTCATTATCCAGGATTGTGTCTGTGGTGAACTGCTTTCCTGTGGGATGCAGTCTCTCTCTCCTCTTCCCTGTGCTCGAGTGACACAGCTCAGCAAAGGCAGGATGTGCTTGTTTGTCCCCAGTTCACAGTAATGGAAACAGGACGCAGGAAGCAACTATGTGGCTCGCACCCTTCGCTGGGAGGACCTGTAGCTGCTCTGGTATTCTGTCAGAATGGGTGTTTGCTTGAAATGGAACTTGGTCATTAGCAGCTAATGTCACTTAGTATTTAGGGAGCGCCTACACAAGCAAATGATTGGTACTCCTCTTTCCATTCGTGCTTATTTCTGTAGAGAACAATTCTGTCGTTCCAATTATTTTTCAATGTGACCTCTTAATTTCTTATGTTTATTGTACGTATCTTCTTTCTCTTTTGTGAAATGCTTGTTAATAATTTTTTGTCTTCAGTTATTTGTATGATTTTTTTTTTGGATTTTAATATTCTTGATATTCATTTCTTGTTGGATATGTATGTTTGAATATATCTTTTCCGTTTGTAATTTGATCCTTTCTTTTTTCTTTTATAGTATCTGTGTACGTGTGTGTGTGTGTGTGTGAGAGAGTTACTGTGTTTATGTATGTGTGTGTGTTATATACTTTGTTTACGATTGTATAGACATACTCCCGGGGACCAGAGGCCAACATCAGCAGTCTTCCTTGCTTTCTCTTCAGCTTATTTTTAATCAGTTTTTTCATTTGCTATGACTACGTGTGTGTTTGGAGGATGCTTCGCTGCTGTGCACATGTAGAGATTAGAGAGAAGCCTGTGAAATGGGTTCTTTGCTTCCACTTCATGGGAATTCCAGGAGGTGAACATGGTCAGCAGACTTCCATAGCTGGCAAGCTCCTTCCCTAATCAGCCACCTAACCCTCCAGCCTGTGTCTTTTGAGAAAGATCCTCTCACTGAACTCAGAGTCTAGGCTGCCTGGCCAGTGAGTTCCAGGGATCTCTGTCTCTCCATTGAGATCACAAATGTACCATGACACCTGGCTTTATTATTTATTTTATATCTCCAATGACTTCAGGTTCTTTATATTAATATGGTCGTGATGTTATGCAACCTACATAAATTTTTCTCACCCAACGTCTAAAAGGTATTTGCTCATTGACGCATTAATGTTTTATTTTTAACACTTGACATATCAATCCTTCTAGAGATGGGATTTGTGTTCTTTTTCATAAAGCATTTACTTTATGGTCTCCGCTTGTTTCAGCACTCCAGCAGCAGCGCTTTAACAAGTGCATTGCTCTGTCATTCTGTAATCCTCCTACTGTTTTCCTCTCCATCCTCTTCCTCCTCCCCCATCTTCTCCTCCCCCCACTACCTCCTCCTCTCTTTTCCTTCTCCTCCCTTCTCTCCTTCTCTTTCCTCTCCTCTCCTCCTCCCTTGTCCTTTCTTCTTGCACACACTCATCTCTTACATTCAAGCTAGCATGGTGGTACATGCCCATAATATGAACATTTGGGAGGCGGAAGCAGGAGACTCGGGAACTCAAAGCCAGCTTCAGTGACAGTAAATTCTTGGTCAGTCTGAGATGACGCACATCTTTCCTTGAAAAGAGGCATCTTTGAACTTTAGACTCATGTTTGCATACATAGATTTCAAGCACTTGTTTTCCCACTAGGTTTTGGAAATAGTAAAAGCAAGTATCCGTACAATTCTTCCGAGAATCTGGAGGGTCCCCGACGCTGAAGATCTGAGTTTGTACAGGATTTTCAACCGAGTGTTTAATCGCTTACTCTGGAGTCATGGCCAAGGACTGTGGAGCTGTTTCTGTGATTCAGGGTAAGTTGAAGTCATTTATTTTATGTTACTGCAATTTTAACTATTTTACTATTTAGTCATAAAGGTAGACTAAAAAAGGTAGTCATGTATCTTTAATAATAGTCCTTTAAAATGTGAATTTTTTTACTACATATAATTGTAATACTCAAGGATAATTTATATCAATCAAGTTGATTTGGATAAGTCAACAGTGAGCTCTGGGTTAAATGTGAGACCCTCTTTCCAACAGTAAGATGGAGAGCAATCAAAAAAGCCCACCGACATTAAACTCTGCCCTCCGTGCACACACACAGGAATGTTTGCAGGGCATGTGCACACACACAGAATATACATGCCATACACATACAACTCAATACACCCCATACACATACATGCACACAAATACATCACACTATACACATACACCACCCAAAAATATATACCCATGTGCTACATACATATACATACTATACAGAAACACACAGGCACACACTATACGTACATGCACAATAAAAGAGATTACTGTGCAGTTTTGCTTCCAATGTTTCATTTCCTATTTTACTTTATTGTCAAGATCATTGCCTAAACTCTAGTGATTTTCCTCAACTGTCCTCAGAGTCTAAACATGTCTATACACATGAGGTTGTTGACAGCACTCACTCTAACTTCTTTAGACCTTTGTCTTATTTTTCTCCTGTTCAGAGTGCTCTCCAGAAAGAAAAATTCATCATTTTTTCCAATATCTTAAAAATCTGTTCATTCTGCATTTGTTTGAGTCCTGTCTAGAGGCTCAGACTGTACTTATCTCTGTTGTAAAACCTTAACATGCTCTTCTGCTCTGACGTGGTCTCCGAGCAACAATTGCAAGGTCTAGCCACGAGACTCTGAGTCACCCATGCCATTTGCAGGGCCCCATCTCAGCGCTATGTGTTTTCTGTCATCTGCCATTCACCAGTAGATACAGCACTCTGGGTTGCCATGATCTCTGAGGATAATCTTGGGTCTAAATACATTTCTACAGAGATTTAGGCGAAATGTTTAAAATATAGCCCCTCAGTTGATGGACCTCTGGAATGTTTTCCTCTATCTGAACTCAGCTTATTTGGTTTGTTTGTTCACCCTTTGGCTTGGTGCTGCATATGGATTTCAGCTCCAGCCAGCCATGGAAAGCTGGGAGACACTCCGCTACTTATGTTCATGCTGGGAATATGCCAGTGTCGACATTTAAGGATATACATCTGGTGGCTTCATTGACCACAGGGCTTAGTTTCCTGGATCTTTTTGAAAACATGGTCTGGCTTGGTGGAGTTTCCTTTTCACTTGCTACTAACATAATACTCTCTGCAAATGTCTGTGGTGGTATCTTTCCCTGCAAATCCCGGCAGTAGTAATAAGTCACTTTATTGGAGACTTACTAAGCATAGGGCAGTTGTTCCCTTATTTGCTGTAAAAATATTTAGAGTAAACTATTACTATTATTTTCACTTGACAGGTGAGGAAAGCAAAACATACAGAAAATATCATTTATCCAGGTACCTGTAGAAATTGAGTGAGCCTTCATTTAGACCCAGGAAGTCTGAGTTGAGCTCTAGAGCAAGTAGCCTTGTTCACTGTCCCCAGATACGTCTGCCAGCGACATTTCATCTCTCAGCAGGCCATGCTGAGCAGGTGGAAGAGGAATACTTTGGGGTTCAAGATGACTCCACTCTGCACCCAGTCCCTGCACGTTAGTAGTTTTAGATGTTTAGCTTCGGGCCTTATTTGACAGCTTCACAAGCAAGTGTTGTAGGATTCCTGGGCTCTGAAGACATGTGTTGCTGCTTGTGTTTGCTCCTCAGCTTGGATCTTCCATGGTTCTACTGCATCTTTTGAAGCTTTGCCCAGTCAGATGTATGCCTTCAACACTGGTCTGAGAGCTAGGGAGTAAGGGTGAAAGAAATCCAGTCTCCCTATTCCCAAAGGGATGATATTAATGATTTTTTAAAAAAATGTAGTTTTTTTGCTTAGTTATGTGGAAAATATTAGACAAATAAAACTTACATAAATCCAGGGCAGCTCCATTCCTTTCTCTCTCTGTTAACATACCCAAGAATAAGATGAAACAAACCACCGTGCCTGCCTCCATAGATACTGAACAGTATTATAACTCCTTCTTGCTGATTTCAATAAATTCAACCCAAGACTTTTATATCAGACAGACAATATAATGGTCCTCCTGCTCTTCTCCCTCTCTTCTCTTCCCCCTTGGTTCCATGTAGGCTACTGGGAGACTTTTTTTTAAAGATATATTTTATTTATGGTTGTGAGACTAGCCTTTAACAGCTGAGCCATCTCAAGTGTAGGTAGTCTGTGGAAGAAGGTGGAGATAGAAGGACCTGAAGGGGACAGGAGTTCCACAAGGAAACCAACATAGCCAAAAATGTTGGGCCCAGGGCGAACTACAGAAACTGATACATCAACCAAAGACCATGCATAAAGTCCATGCACAGAGAGGACCTAGACCCTAGATGTAGCCCATAGACAGTTCAGTCTCCATGTGGGTCCCCTAATAAGGGAAGAAGAGACAGTCTCTGAACATGAACTTGGTTGCCTGCTCTTTGATCACTTCTCCCTGGTGGGGTGACCTAGCCAGCCCACAGAGGAAGGAAGAGGATTCAGGCAGTCCTGATGAGACCTCATAGGTTCGGGTCTGACATAGGGGAGGAGGACTTCCCCTGTCAGTGGACTAGGGGAGAGGGATGTGGGAGGAAAAGGGAAGGAAGAGTGAGTTGGGGACTACAACTGGGGTACAAAGTGAATAAATTATAAAAAAATAAATAATTGGAAAAAAGATATATTTAAAAAAATGTATACATATATGTGTATATGTCTGTTTGAGGGTATGTGCATGTGAGTCTAGGTATGCATTGGATCCTGGCAGTTGTGAGCTGCCCCGTGTGGGTGCTCGGATCCAAATCAGATCCTCGTGGAAGAACAAGAAGCACTGTTAACCATGAAGTTATCATTTCAGTCCTCCCAACCCCAGAAAGGTTTTGGTGGTCCACATTCTGACTGTGGTCAGTCTCATGAGAAGCGTGGGTTTTGGAATTCTCTTCAATAAAAATATCTGCCATGTTTTCCCGGACTAAGGCAAATCTATATTTCTGTGGACTCTAACTCGGGAAAGATGGCTCTAGCAGCTCACATTTCAGTTGAGACCTTGCATGAAGGCCACATAAAGCGGTGGAGAGGAAAAGAAGGGAGAGGGGTTGAGAGAAACTGAGCAGGATGACGGAGGAGATGAAGAAAAAAGGGGAGGAGGGAAAGGGAATTAACCAGCTTTCTCTGTACCCAGAACAAAGGATCCCAGTTTAGGCCTTTTACCTCAAAACATTTTCGATGGGAGTTTGTCATATGGAAACTTTATAACAGATTTTCAAGCTCTAAGTTCAGAAATAAACTTTAAGAAACGTTCTTGGGTGTGTTAACAGACAGAGACAGGTAGGAAACTGTCCTAGAGTTACTGAAATTATATTTGTCAAAGATTTTCCACATACCTGAGCAAGAAAGCAGCATGTTTATTTATTTATTAAACAGCATTCCTTGAGAAATGAGAACACTAGATTTCTTTCACCTTGACTTTCTAGCTGTCGGACCAGCTGCTAAAGGCATACATACTGACAGGGTAACACTTCGAAAGATGTGGCATAACTGTGGAAAATCCAAACTGAGGACCAAACACAAGCAGCATCTATTGGCTTCACAGAGCCACTGGGTTTTAGATTTTAAAGTACTTCAGTTTTAAAAAAAATATTCATAAAAGACATTAAGAGATGTGATCCTCTGTTCCTTTAGGTTGTGTTCATGGCAGGTCCTCAGCTTTCAACAAAACATCCTGGTGATTATTCACTCACTTGAAAGACTTGTCCAGATTTTTAAATAGACAAAGCCAACTTGTTCTTTCTCCTTTTTGTCCACTTAACCACCAGTTAGGTTTTCTTCCAGGGTACAAAGGAACAAATTAATTCCCCTCTTCAGATAAATGTTTTATTAAAAGTTTTCATGAGGAAGAGGGTGCAGTGGATAGGTTATTGAATAATAAGAGGACTTTCTAAGTCTTGGATTTTATTAACCTCTCTTTGTTGTGAGAAGAATTCTGGATTTTATCCCCTGTCATTATGTCACTAAAAATGTCATTGAAAACCACCCCCTTTAATATTTCTCTGAAGATTAGGGAAAACATCAAAGAATGCAGGCAACGAGACCATGGGTTCTTTGTTTTGAAAGCAGTGGTGTTTTAAACTCTTCCCATCTCCCTTTTACCTTTGCAAAAACAATAACAACCAAACAAAAAAACCCCACAAAACTTTGCGCTATTATTTTGGGCAGTTGGGACACAGGCATAGTATAGGAACTTTTCATATGCAGTCATGACAGCAGGCACTAGTTGAGCAGGGTGCCGTGCTGAGTCTCCATCACAACTTTCCTGTATCCAGAGGCTCTGCTAGCTTCTGGCAAGAGAACTGGAGTCTTCCTCATTTTCTCTTCTTTTCTGAGGAGCTTTGGTATGCTGATACTTGGTTATAACATAATAGACTAAGAAGAAGTGTTTTTTCAATGCTAGGGAATATATACACAAGAGGTGTGCATAAGACATTGACTCCTATGTTTATCTTGAAAAGAAAATGGTAAACCAGTCAACACTGTTCTCCCACCATACACCGGAGTCAGCTAAGCTTCTGGCTAGCCATGCACAGTTGGTAGTAACATCTAAAGACTTAAAGACAAAGAAAAAGTTAATAAACTGTAACTAATACTAAAAAAAGATTTAATTTAGTGCCACTCATGAGTAAAAGGTAGGAACAATAGTGTTAATAAATATAATAAATAAATTTTTTTCCAGCCAGTGAAGTGATTTTGTTAGAGGTGAGAAAACACACACATGCAGTGAGCAAACAGAAAGCACCTTTACAGAGCAGTACAGACCCGATAAAGGTGGAACGTTAAAGATTGTTGCGGTATAATAGATGTTTTAGATGACATGGCTTATTTTTATGTATGTAAAGTGGAATGTGTAAAAATGTTGAAATATTTTACCACGCAATAAAAGTTTACACATGAAAAAAAAAGACTTAAAGACAAACTTCACATACTATGTAAACAGTTACATCTAATTAAAATGAAGAAGCCCTTTTTCTCTTTTCCATCTTATTGCATCCTCTCTTCCCTCTAAATATTAAGGTCTGTAAAGAAAAATAACCTTGATAGGAGAGACCTGGTACATATCTAATCAGATAGCTTCAAAGTATAAAAATATAAATAAGCCAGCTCAGAATGTTGAATGTTGAGGATACCTTAGGACCTGAGCAGAGAGTGATGGATGGCCAGTCAAAACACAGGGTATGCTCTGTTTATTTTCAGGCAGACACAGTTTTATATCTTACTGCTCAGACGTTTAAGAAGTTTCAGGGTTATGTATATTAGATACAAATGTAAATGCTAATTATCTTCTCTGGTGTTTTCTTGGTTCCAATAGGTAAGTTAATTTTATATCTGTAGCTATAATATATGTCTTGATAATACATATATATTGTCTTGAGTTTGCTAGTATATTTTGAGTTAATTGAGCTAACGTTTAATTGTTTATGGATCAGAAATGTTTATGCCTTTGCTAAGAAAAAAGTATTATATTTAGACTTGAACATTTCTAAACCCAGAAGAAAATCCATTTCTTTCAATTAACTCACTCAAGATTTGACCCTCTAAGAAAAGCTGTCATTTGCTGATGATATGCTGTCTTCTAGGACCATTTTTTTTCCTGAGAAAATAAACAGTAGTCTTTGTAGATAAAACAAAATAAAACAACCCTCAAACACTTTTAAGTGTGTAAAGATTTTTTTTTTTAATTCTAAACATATAAAACAGCTATGGAAGATTGAAAATTGAGTCTTTGAATTTCCTGTTGGGATTTTTTTTTTGTATTGTTTTCAGGAAAAAAATATTTTTCTTTAGTATTTTTTCTTTCTTTCTGAAAACCTACTCTTTCTCTTGAGGATTACACAAATTGGTTTTTGTCAAAAGAGACTTAAACCATTATGAAATCTCCAACCACTTTCCCTCAAGGTTTGAAAAGAGTCCCCCCTCCCAGGTTCTTGCTGAGGTATGTCTCTGTAAGCCAAGATGACTGACTTGATACTTGACACTAGTGACACACAGACAGTGAGGCTTTCCAGGGAATAATGAGCTGGTCCACTTTGGAGTGAGTTCCTTTCAACAAGAAAGGTTCCAGCTCATGTTGTGGGGGTGGCTAACTGCTGGGACAGGTCATTGCTGGAGCACACACTGGTGGGAGAGGAGGATGGACAGGGTACCGTGAGAGGGGCGCTCACAGGTGCTCACAGATCCAGAGGTCAAACTGAGTTTCCTAGAGCAGGCTGTTCATAAATCAAATCACAATGACTTTCTAATCTCTTTGTTTCTAGTATCATGCTAAATATAGAGTTAAAAAAAAAAACAACAAAATCCTAGAAACCCTAAAATTTAAGAAATTAACCAGGCACTTTATACAGATGCTTTAGTATGGAATAGTTTCATTTTTTAAAGCAGGAATGAGCCATTTTGTTAGCTCTCCATGTTGGTAGCACTGATGGCCTTGAAGACAAGTCCTGTAATAATGCAATTTTTTTTTTAAAACGAAGACTTATTTTCCAATTTGTATCATAAAACTTTCGTATTCACTATGTATGTGAAAGGTCATTTCTACCTTCTTTCTCAGTTTGCTGCTAGATAAGTGACCTAGCTGGTTGCCAGTTCGAGTAGTGAACACTAAGTCATGTCTCTTTCTTTGCCAGCAGATCATCCTGGGAGAGCATCTTCAATAAGAGCCCAGAACTGGTGACTCCTCTGCAGCTCCAGTGCTGCCAGCGCCTGGTGGAGCTTTGCAAGCAGTGCCTATTAGTGGTTTACAAATACACAACAGAAACTAGAGGACCCATCTCAGGTGTTGGTCCTGACTGGGGTAACTCCAGGTACCTTTTAAATTCTCAGTTCTGGGTGCGTTTTGTAGAGAGACAAGGCACAGTTTGAAATTGAGAGTTTTTAAAACTAGAAGTCTTGTTATGTTTACAGAACCAAAGAATCACCTAACCCTGAACATATATACATGCGATAACCTACAAAATAGCTTTTATTTGCACAGTCTTTGCTTTTAAGAAAGTGAACAAGTACAGCAATCACAAACCTAAAGGTGGTAGATACAATGTGATTAGAAATAAACATATTCACTTTACATATTCTTGTTTTCAAAAACTAAGTAAGAGCACTCTAATATGTTGCAATGAAGTTAACTGTTATTCTCTAATAGAGGCATTTCACATTTATCCCTGAGAACAAGACAGTTGAGAAGGAGCCTTTGGTATGATTTTATTATTCATCACGCCAATACCAAGACATTGCCAAGCCGATCAGCAGGAGATGATTTTTCCCATTTGTTTGTTTGTTTATTTATTATTTAATCACTTTACAGCCTGCTGGGAGGAGATGATTTTTTTCGTAAAGTTCTATTTCAAAATAGAGTTTCATGTATGTCCAGTTAAAACATGTTTTTTTTTTTTTTTTTTATCTTTTTTTTTTTTTTTTTGTTTTTTGTTTTTTTTTTTTTTTTTTTTTTTTTTTTAAAGTAGGAAGCATGATAACAAGCAGCTGTTAGGCCATAAAAGCACAGAGTAAACGTGCAGTCCATTTTAGAATTTTCCAGCCAATTACAATTCCTATTGGAATTAAAGGTGAGAAGCAACTTCCAGTATTTATTGCTGATTGGTTTAACTGTGGAAAATTGAACCCAGGGCCTTTTGCAGGAAAAACAACTTCTCTATGCATTGAGCCAGTGTCCCAGCCTTTGTCACTTTAGTTTTATTATGAAAATGTTGTAGTGATAGTTAAAGTAGAAGAATGTAAGTTGTAGAAATGGATTTATAGTCAAAAAAGTCAGAGAGTACGTTAAAAATAAAGAACAATTCAAATCTCCAGACATAGATGCAGTAAAAAGCTCTCTGGAGTCTTGAAGCACACTTCCTACAGCTGGGCCTTAACCACACAACAGACAGGAATATTTTCTTAGGAAGACCAACACATATACTAGTCTTAGATTTTGTCTTTTGTACACTGTGTAGGATATTTAACCACTTTTAACCTTTTGCAAACAATAACCAATTAATCATAACGATTTTAGAGACAAAGTTAACTTGTGAGTATTTTTAATTAAAATTTTTATTTATTACAATATATTCTCTTTGTATCCCAGCTGTAGTCTTCTCTCTCATCCACTCCCAATCCTGCCCTCCCTCCTTCATCTCCTCCCATGCCCTTCCCCTAGTCCACTGATAGGGGAGGTCCTCCTCCTTTTCCATTTGACCCTAGCCTATCAGGTCTCATCAGGACTGTCTGCACTAGCTTCCTCTGTTGTCTGGTAAGGCTGTCCCCACTCAGGGGGAGGTGATCAAAGAACAGGCCACTGAGTTCATGTCAGAGACAACCCCAGATCTCCTTACTAGGGTACCCACTTGGAGACTGAGTGGCAGCCATTGGCTACATCTGTGCAAGGGTTCTAGATTATCTCCATGCATGGTCCTTGTTTGAAGTATCAGTGTCAGAAAAGACCCTGTGCCCAGATTTTTTGGTTCTGTTGCTCTCCTTGTGTCGCTCCTGTCCCTTCCAGGTCTTTCATCTCCCCCTTCTTTCATAAGATTCCCTGCACTCTGCCCAAAGGTTGGCTATGAGTCTCAGCATTGCTTTAATACCCAGCTGGGTAGAGCCTTTCAGGGGCCCTCGTGGTGGGCTCCTATCCTGTTCCCTGTTTTCTCCATTTTCCGAGGTCTATCCCATTTACCTTTCTGAATGCCACTCCTAGGCATATATCCAAAAGATGCTCAAGTATACAAGGACATTTGCGCAACCATATTCGCAGCAGCTTTATTTGTAATAGCCAGAATCTGGAAACAACCCAGATGTCCCTCAGTTGAGGAATGGATACAGAAATTGTGGTGCATTTACACAACGGAATACTACTGAGCAATTAAAAACAAGGAAATCATGAAATTTGCAGGAAAATGGTCAGAAGTAGAAAAGATCATCCTGAGTGAGATATCCCAGAAGCAGAAAGACACACATGTATATACTCACTTATAAGTGGATATTAGACATATAATATAGGATAAACATACTAAACTCTGTACACCTAAAGAAGGTAAGCAAGAAGGACCCTGGGTAAGATGATCAATCCTCATTCAACTGTGAGTATTTCAAATATGTGGAGATTAAGATTATATAGCACAGTTTTAATGGGAAATAAAATTTTCATTAAAGATTTCATCTGATTTAAACAAATGATAGCCATTGTTTTGAAATTACAGCATAGAAATGAAGAGCCTTTTCTTCAAGGATTAGCTTTGACTTCCTGCACAGGAGGGAGTTTATCTCTGTGGTCTCATTCCTGCAGTTCTAGCTCTTCTGACTCAGTTTCTCGTTGGATCAAGCAGGATCAGGTAGCTTTGTGAGCAAGGCAGAAAGGACTGTTTAATGGTTATTCTAAGGGAAGAAGTCACACACCATAACTGCTTCCACTCTTTTCCTTCCCTCTAATCTTTGTGGCCAGGAGAGGCATTTCTGGTCCTGAAATCTTCAGTCCTAGACTTCTGAGGGATGCTCAGATGGGCCTGGTGTTAAGAGTCTTACTAATCATTGTGATGTGAATGTATATATAAATTATATATAAATTAATTATAAATAAGGATATACATAAATATGAATATAACATGTGCATTCATGAAGTATGCCTGAGTACTTTGATGAAGAGATGTATTTTTGGATATTTTATTTAAAAAACGAAAGAGGGAATGTTGGCATCAGCCAGTTTTATAGACCCATGAATAATATGACCTTGAATGATATTTCCTAAGAGGTTTTAAGTATGGTATGCAAGAGTGTGGCTTCTGACCTGGAAACCTTACAAAAATAACATACAATAAAGAAGACAGTCCATGTACAACTGATAATAATTTAAACCATTAGAGTTGGTATAGGAACTAAGATCTTCATTTAGAAATATACACCTTTCTATGTATTTTGCAAGTAATAAAACTTGAGCCTGACTTGATCCACTGTACTAAGGTTAGTTGTTAAGCTCCGTGTTCTCCAACTGCTTTTTGGTGTCTAGGCTTATATGGGTTCACTATCAACCCCACTTAGAGAACAGGAAAACTAGAACTTAGTTTCTCCTTGTGATAAGACTACTTACTTATCTTCAATACCAAAAACCAAGCAGAGCCTTATTAGCAAAGAAAAGCAAATGTTCATTCTCACCTAACAACATAAATGTAAAATCAGAAGCTATATGTTAGCAAACAGAAACAATTTTATCTACAGCAATCCCTCATTCAGCTCTGCTTGTAGTGCTGGTGATAGATTCCATGACCTGAAGAAGAAATGATTGATGCTTTTTGCTACTTAATAGGACAGAAGGTCATTTCAAAAGGTCCAGAGAGATGGCTGGGGTGTGGTTCAGTGATAGGAGTGTTTGTGATGGGTATGGCAGGTTTGCTCCCTAGGTCCCTGTTCCAGGGAAGGAGAAATCACATTATCAAATTCTGTTATAATTATGATTAGAAAACTGTTTATCCAACCTAAAAAAGGAGAAGGAATTTTCACAGTCCCATACAATGTAACTACATACGCGTTATAACAGACATGCATAAACATTCCTTCTCAAATAAGAAACAAGGCAAAGTTGCCTGGTACCCTAACTCTAGTTCAGCCTTGTAACCGAAGGACCCAAGAATGCGAAATGATAAAGACTGGCAAAAGACACTGAGTTTGAAATGGAGAACTAAAGGCTCATTATTAGTGCATACAACTGTGTTCTTACACATCTACCGGTAAACAAAAGAACATTGACCATCTTGATGAAATCAATCTAAGAAAGTAAATTGTTACAAAGCGTGGGAGTGCAAGGCTGTAATCCCAGCACAGAGGAACAGAGGTGGATACAGAGTCAGGAGTTCAAAGCCAGCCTCAGCTACATAGCAAGTTCAAGCCGGCCATGGTTACATGAGATGCCATCTCAAAGCAAAACACAAACAAAAATAAAGTGATACAAACTTATATGAATTTCTACAACTTCTAGAAAACAAACAAACCAGACCTCGAAAAGGCGGCAATAAACATTTGAAAATGTAGATGAGCAAATTACGTTCAAGACACTACAAAATAATAGAAAAAAAGCAGCCTTAATTCTGCACACCTGCAAAAAAACACCAAGAAATGAGATTACCTCCATGACAGGAAACAGAGAAAATGGGTGAGAGTTCAGCATTGCATACTGGACGTGGCCATTTTATAACCACTGTGCCAGTAATTTTCCAAAAAAAATGTATGAGCATGGATACAAGACCAAAAATTTACTACAATGGTTATGGTATAATTTACTCAGAATACTTAAAAAAAATTAGGCCCAAACAGAGTATACAACAGAAAATTAGATACATTTTCTATAACATCACACAATGGAGTAACATTCAGTACTGGTAAGGAAAACAGTTTACCTGCATATACAGTGACAGAGGGTCAAACATTTGATGGTGTAAACCTATCCACATACAAGGGAATATGTATTTTGTTTGATTGTTAATGAAAATAAAGATTAAGCAGAAACAGTGTTTAAGGAAGATGGATTTGGATGGGAAACGGGGATGTAAGTGCCATAAAGACCAAGAGAGGGGTAACTTCATGAGGAGCAAGGGTGTTGTAATTCTGAGCTCAGGGTTTTTTCAGATCGCTGCTTACCACGATGGTTTTATACAAGTAATCACTTCCGAATGCCTATTAAACTGAATGGCATGTCCAACACCCCTTTCTGAATGTGTATTATACTTTACATTAAGTTTCAAGCATATGATGTCATTAATGACCCGAGGCTATAGTAGGATGTGTTTATCTCAGGCAGAGGATGGTCTTGCCAGTGAGGCTGGTGTTC